ACGTGTCACGCAGGCCGCGGGTGGCGCAAGCTACGGTGCAACCGCTGACGCAACCCATGGATGGTGCAACCCATGGCGCAACCCACGGATCGCGCAGCCCATGCCGCAATCCACGGATGGAGCAACCCACGGATGGCGCAACCGACGGCGCAGCGGCGCAACCTACAGATTGCGCAACCGGTGGCGCAAGCTTTGACGCGACGAATGGATGGGGCGACCCATAGGGCAACCCCTGGATGGAGCATAGCGCAACCCACTTTGCAACCCATGCATCGCGAAACCTATTGTGCAACCCTTGGACGGCGCAGCTCATTTATAACGCAACCTTCTGCGCGATTCATGGATCGTTCAATGCATGGCGCGCCGTGTGAGTAGCACGCGCGTAGCAGTTTCTGCATGGCTGCGCCCGATGTGCGTGCTCGCCACTTGGGCTGGCTGGCGGTGGCGCCCGAGCGGCGATGCGTCTTGTGGCTGTTAGCTCGGCCGCCTCGCGCGCTCCGCCAGCCCATGCTGCAGCACCGGTGCTGTCTGCTTGTGTGCTCGTGGCGTTTTCCTGTTACTTTGCTGGGTGGCAGTGGCCTCCCTGACCGGGCTCGTGTTGCTCGCGGGGGGGGGGGGAGCAGTCGCGGCGCACGCCGAGGGCAAGGCTCGAAGCACCACGGCCCCACCACGGGGCGTCGCGGTCACGGCCCGCAGCCACAAGATGGCAGTCCTCCCGGGACCTATGAGGGCGCTGGCGTCATCCCGTGCCGCTCCCTGGGTTCTCCCAGGAGTATTCGAGAGGCTTCTGGGGACCTCCTCGGGGTCCTCCCAGGGGCTTCTCGGGGCTTGGTTGGGGCTGCCTCGGACCGTATTGGGCCTCATTGGGTCCGAGCTTGGGGTCTCTTTTTTGTGCCATGTTGGGGTCTGCCACTCATGGATTCCTGGTCTTGGGCCGACCTTGGGATCCCCCTGTGTCTCCAGTGGAGCCTACTGGAGCGCTCTTGGGGCGACCATGGGGGCCTTCGGAACGCTTTTGGAGCCCTTCGTGTTCCACTTGGAGCTATCGTTGTGAGGTCGTGGAACCACCTTGAGGCCTTGGGAGTCCGTTTTGAAGCGACTCGGCGAGAATGCCACCGTCACTGAGAAATATTGTTGTTGCAGGATTTGGGTCTGTTGGAGGCTTCTCCGGGGCTGTCTTGGACCAGCGAGGGCCAACGTGGGGCTACATCGGGGCCTCCTGGGGCTGTTTCTGGGGCGTGTTGGGGCCTGCCACCTCTCGATTCCTCCCGAGTCATCCCTGGGGCCCTCTTGGAGTCTTCTCGGGGCGCTCCTGGATTGTGTCGGAGCGGTCTGTGAACTCTTATGGGCTCCTATTGGAGCCAGAGTCTATGATCTATGATCTTCGAGCCATGCTGAGACTTCAGAAGCTCACCGAATGCGAACAGGCGAGAACACCAAACTCATAATACGCATGTTTGGAGGGTTTTGTCCTCTTGGGCTTATCTTCGGGGGAATTTGTGTGGCCACCAGGAGCCATCTTATGGTGGTCTTTGAGCCTGAAAGAATCACGCTGGCGGTGACTCAAGAGGTTTATGTCGTTCCGCCAACCCCCAAAGGAAGGTGCTGGGATGAGGAGGAGGATGAGGATGAGGAGGAGGAGGAGGACAAGGAGGAAGAGGATGAGGAGGAGGGGGGGGATGATGATGATGACGAGAAGGAGGAGGAGGAGGAGGAGGACAAGGAGGAGGAGGATGAGGAGGAGGAGGAGGAGGAGGAAGAGGAAGCGAAAATGAAGGTATGAGCACGGGCATCTCGATCTGGGTGTGGTTCTGGTCCCTGGAGGGGGACCAGCATGCAACACTTCCAGTAAGCGAGACCGTGTAAGACCTTTTTGGGACCCTCTGGGGCTCCCTTGGAGCTCTCTTGGGATTTCAGGGATGTGAGTTTAAGAATCAGTCCAGCTCAGTGTCGCGCCTGAAATGGCGGGGGTCAAGCATCCCCTCCTCGTCTCTTGATTCGTAGTTCTCCTCTTCTTCCCCCTCCTCCTCATCCCTCCTTCTTCTCCTATCGAATACTCACTCCTGTTCCCCACTCCTTATTGAAAGCATCGTCCTTCTTCTCCTGTCGAATACTCACTCCCGTTCCCTACTCCTTATTCATCGCATCTGGTAGGCTTGCTTGGGACCGTGGGGCCTCTTTTGGGACCTGGAACCGTCTTAGGGTCGTCTTAGGGGTTTCTTGGGCAGTTTCGGGGCCATTTTGGCATAATCCGTGGGACGCCTTGCGCAGTTTGGTGGGCTTTTGCTCACCGCCCACCAAGCCACCCCACTCCAGCCCGAAGGCCCCGATTTCCCATCCATGTCCAGTTGGGGGGTGGGCGGGGAACATGGAAATTACCCTAGCGACGTACCCAACCTCTGCGCCATGCGGGGCATGAGTATCTTGGGAGACGTTCTACGGAGGCGATGACGTGACATGGGCGCATATACTTCTGCGAGCGGCATTCGTGAGGTTCGCACCCCCCCGAGGATTGCGAGATTTGCGTGCCTCACTCCGCTGGACCCGCCACCAGCCTTCGAAAGTAGCAACGGTTTCGCAGATCGCAGCCCCTCAGGGACGGCGAGGTCCCGCTCAGACCTGCGCGGTGCCTCACCCCGCTGGGCCCACCAGCCGCCCTCGAAAGTGGCGACAGTTTCGCAGATCGCAGCCCCCCAGGGACGTCGAGGTTCCGCTCAGATCTGCGCGGTGCCTCACTCCGCTGGGCCCATTAGCAGCCCCCGAGAGTGGCGACAGTTTCGCAGATCGCAGCCCCCTCAGGTCTGCGCGGTGCCTCACCCCGCTGGGCCCACCAGCAGCCCTCGAAAGTGGCGACGGTTTTGCAGATCGCAGCCCCCCAGGGGCGGTGAGGCCTTGCTCAGATCTGCGCGGTGCCTCACTCCGCTGGACCCACCAGCAGCCCTCGAAAGTGGCGACAGTTTCGCAGATCGCAGCCACTCAGGGACGGCGAGGTCCCGCTCAGATTTGCGCGGTGCCTCACTCCGCTGGACCCACTAGCATCCCTCGAAATTTGCGACAGTTTCGCAGATCGCAGCCCCCCAGGGACGGCGAGGTCCCGCTCAGATTTGTGCGGTGCCTCACTCCGGTGTGCACCCACCAGCAGCCCTCGAAAGTGGCGACAGTTTCGCAGATCGCAGCCCATCAGGGACGGCGAGGTACCGCTCAGATCTGCGCGGTGCCTCACTCCGCTGGGCCCACCAGCAGCCCTCGAAAGTGGCGACAGTTTCGCAGATCGCAGCCCCCCAGGGACGGCGAGGTCCCGCTCAGCTCTGCGCGGTGCCTCACTCCGCTGGACCCACCAGCCCTCGAAAGTGGCGACAGTTTCGCAGATCGCAGCCCCCCAGGGACGGCGAGGTCTTGCTCAGATCTGCGCAGTGCCTCACTCCGCTGGACCCACCAGCAGCCCTTGAAAGTTCAGGGGCGGCGAGGTCTTGCTCAGATCTGCGCAGTGCCTCACCCCGCTGGGCCCACCAGCAGCCCTCGAAAGTGGCGACGGTTTCGCAGATCGCAGCCCCCCAGGGACGGCAAGGTGCCGCTCAGGTCTGCGCGGTGCCTCACTCAGGTGGGCCCACCAGCCGCCCTCGAAAGTGGCGCCAGTTTCGCAGATCGCAGCCCCCCAGGGACGGCGAGCTACCGCTCGGATCTGCGCGGTGCCTCACTCCGCTGGACCCACCAGCCGCCCCTGACAGTGGCGACGGTTTCGCAGATCGCAGCCCCTCAGGGACGGCGAGGTACCGCTCAGATCTGCGCGATGCTTCACTCCGCTGGGCCCACCAGCAGCCCTCGAAAGTGGCGACAGTTTCGCAGATCGCAGCCCCTCAGGGACGGCGAGGTACCGCTCAGATCTGCGCGGTGCCTCACTCTGCTGGACCCACCAGCTGCCCTCGAAAGTGGCGACAGTTTCGCAGATCGCAGCCCCCCAGGGACGGCGAGGTACCGCTCAGATCTGCGCGGTGCCCTACTCCGCTGGACCCACCAGCAGCCCTTGAAAGTTCAGGGGCGGCGAGGTCTTGCTCAGATCTGCGCAGTGCCTCACCCCGCTGGACCCACCAGCAGCCCTCGAAAGTGGCGACAATTTCGTAGATCGCAGCCCCCCAGGGACGGCGAGGTACCGCTCAGATCTGCGCGGTGCCCTACTCCGTTGGACCCACCAGCAGCCCTCGAAAGTGGCAACAGTTTCGCAGATCGCATCCCCCCAGGGACGGCGAGGTCCCGCTCAGATCTGTGCGGTGCCTCACTCCGGTGTGCACCCACCAGCAGCCCTCGAAATTTGCGACAGTTTCGCAGATCGCAGCCCCCCAGGGACGGCGAGGTCCCGCTCAGATCTGTGCGGTGCCTCACTCCGCTGGGCCCACCAGCAGCCCTCGAAAGTGGCGACAGTTTCGCAGATCGCAGCCCCCCAGACAAGGCAAGAGCAGACAAGGACGAATACCCAACCAACGTGGTTGGGAAACAACACGTATGAAGCCCGTAGCCCCCCAACCCGAAGGTCGGGTCTTCGGGTTGGGTTGTTGTGGTCTGGCAGGTATTCAAGTGCTGTCTCTAAAGCTTTCCCGAGGCGGTCTGCAACGGAAACGTCTCGGAATCAGGCACCATGGGTTCCCCTTTGTTTTTCTTTGCTTCTTGTGCGTCCCTGGGCCTTGCTGGAGGCTTCTTTGGATGTCTTGTGGGGTTGTCTTATGGCTTCTTGGAACTATTGGGACATCTTGGAGCGTCCTGGGTGAGGTGCCACAAGAAGGACCAGTCAGTTGCACTGGACCTTTCGATACAGTCAACCCGCATAGTAAGGATGATCAACTTTCCAAGGTCACCCTTGCATCCTTCCCGTTCGGCCCATCCTTGGCCGCTTTCGCTGGCCGCGCTCCGCTCGCAAAGCGTCGGCATGGCCTTCCAAGGCCCTTGCATCCTTGTCGTGCGTCCTTGTCGTATGGGTTGACTGTGTGTCAGTTCAGCCACGGTGCATGCCCGCCAGGCGACTGGTTGCCAGCGAGGCTGTTGGCCAGGAGGACTCGACGGATATGAGCACCCAGAGCTTGGAGCTTCTACAACACCTTTCATTGCCTCCAGGTGGCAGTGTTTCATTATCACCTGCCCTCTTTACCTCTTCGTGCAACTCTTCCGTCTTTCTGTGACATTTCAGTCGTTTGCTCAAGACAACCGTCCTGCTCACGCCCTTCTTTTAGCAAGTGAGGCTGGAATGGAAGTACTCATGCATGGAGATATCCTAGAGCTTATGATCGCATTTAATCGTTTGAGCAATCTCTCCGAAGCGCCAACGTGCAGAAGAGGTGTTCAAACTGTTAACCATCTCTCTGTCTCTCACACTTTCTCTCTGTTCCTCCTCCCTCTCTCTCTTGTTGTTTTGTTATGTGTTTTAAATTGCTGCCTTTTTCTCTCTCGTTTTTCTCTCTTTCTCTCTCTCTCTCTCTCTGTTTACCTCTTCTCTCGATGTATAAGATACGCTCTCTCTCTCTCTCTACCTCTCTTCCACTCTCACACCACACGAGGCTGAATGGTGCTGGGTGGTCCTCCTGCTCCTCCGTCTCCTTCCCGTCATGTGCCTGGTCTCCAGACCATGTCAGGAAGACGCGTTGGCCCTCGTTTTTGCGGTTCTGTGCGGCGCTATTGTTGGGCTCGGTGCGCAAGGACGAGAGTGGAGAGGAGTGGAGTGGAACCCATGGCGATGCCAGTTAGAGTCACCATATTAAAGAGAGGACCGAGCCCGCCGACTGTCAAGTTTGGCCTTGCGCAGGACCTTGGGAGCTAACCCGTCTCTGATGCGACCTAATACACTTTGCCAGTGGGTGTGATGGGGGAGCACGGCTTCCCAAGGGACCGAAGCTGCTTGTCAGCGACCCCCCCACCCTGGCCATAGAACCAGGTTTTTTTTAACAGTGTGATAGTTCCCTACCTAGGCTCTGCCTAGAAGGGTTCTTACTGTATAAGTTTAAAGGGCCGGGCAGTGTACCACGCCCCGGGCGGTTCCCCCGGCATCCGCCCCGCGGTTCCCCCAGTTACGTCCCCTTAGCTTAGCGTCGCTTATCTCATCTTAGCTTAGCTTCGCTTCATCTTGGCTCAGTTTTATCTTAGCTCAGCTTACCTTCATCTTAGCTTCGCTGAGCTTTGGCATATCAGAGCACAGCATAGCATAGCATAGCGCGGCATAGCATAGCGCAGCACAGCATATCATACCATAGCATAGCATAGCATATCATAGCATAGCGCAGCTTATCATATCGTAGCATAGCATGTCATAGCTTAGCATAGCACAGCGCATCATGACATAACATAGCTTAGCATAGCATATCATAGCATAATACAGCATATCATATAATGTCATATCATATCATAGCATAGCATAGCATAGTGCAGCATATCATGACATAGCATAGCACAGCATAGCATAGCATAGCATCTAACGCTGCTTTCCTAGGGGCTCCAGCTTCTAGGTAGGGTCGCACTGGGGTAATTCATGCAGCCAGCCCCCCGCGACATGAATTCTGGCACCCGCCGACGGGGAGAGGATGGTGCCGTCAGCATTCACCAGCTGGGGACGAGGGGGCAACGCCCATTCCCGAGAGCAGGCCACTGAGGCCGATCCGAAACACTGCACACACCTGCGCCGACTGCCATCGAGCCTGTGTTGGGTATTATTCGTCTGCTTCTTCTTCTTCTTCTTCCTCCTCCTCCTCCTCCTCCTCCTCTTCCTCCTCCTCCCCCTCCTGGGACAAGAGTTGGGCGAGGGCAGCAGCAGGCGGAGGAGGGGGGGGGGGAGAGGGGGAGGAGGGGGGAGGGTCTCGTCCGCGCCCTCCTCACGCCGCTCCTGCCTCCTGGCGGCAGTCTGCTCCGCCTCGGCCGTGAGGCAGTCCGGCGTGGCCCGCAGCAGTCGTAGTCGTACTCCACGTGCCCGAGCTTCGTGAAGCTGAACTCGATGTTTCTCTCTCTCTCTCTCTCCGATCCCTGCTGCAACCATCTTTAGCTTCGAGCTCTCCTGGTGCCCAGGCCGCGCTCATAGCACCGAGGAGTGGCGGACGGTGGCGCGGGCGCGCCGCTGCTCATGTGATGCGGGTAGAACATCCTCTCTCTCTCTCTCTCTCTCTCTGGGAGCCTGCAGCACTCTGCCGCGTGGCTCGCTGGCTCATGAGCGACAGTGTTGGAAAGGTCTGGGCTTCGGGCAGCCTTGCCACTGACGATGGCATGCTTATTCTGATGACTGTGCGTGAATAGCACAGTGATGGTACTCGGGTCTCTGAAGGGATACAGGCTTCTGCAGTCCACATGTCACCGTCCTCTCCCCGAGGCCGATCGTACACTCGCTCATTCCAAGAATCGACCAGTGGTTCGTAGTCGGTGATGTAGGTGAGATATCCCGTCCTAGCCCACACCGGCAACGCAAATGCACGAACCTCCCCACGCGCAACAACTTGTCCTGGCCCCACCAAGGGGCCCGCCACACTGGCAGTAACATAGATCGATGGCTCCATTTATTCAAACGTAGCAATGGCAAGTCCGTCCCTTCTTAATTCAGGGTTGCTAGAGTCTGGGCTTCCAGACGCATCACCTGCAATCATGATTGGTCTGGTAACAGTGCCGTGTCCCATGCATCCGATCGTCAATTCATGATGCCAGAAACACTCCAGTGTTCCTGATCAGCTGGGGATGGTACGCGCGTCCACGGTATTGGAATAATCCTCTCAACCAAAATGCTTCATACGTTCATCGGCGTAAGGGCCTTTCAAGAAGGAGGAACACTTAGGGGGGATGAGGATGTAAGGGGATGAGGAGGATACGGTCTGACTGGGGTATAACATAGAGGTCGGCTCGGGAAGGATACCTTTTTCGTGCTTGTTGGGTGTTCTTGTGCATCCGAGGGGAGGGTTCCCTCGCATGTTCTCCAGTTTTGCCAGCGGAGAGTCTCATGTTTTTGAAGGATGTTATTCTACCCTAGGTCCGACTGTACTTAGAGATGATGACGGAAGAGGATGACGAGGATACGGTAAGGTTACGCCGTGTTGACGCGGCGATGATCTCACCGCGGGCGTTCACGGTTAGACGCCGCCAGTGGTCCAGAATCCGCCGATGTCGAGCCACCTGGACTATCAGAGAGCTGCGCTTTTTCAAGGCTAGGTTGAATGACCCACACGGCGTCAGAACCAACGCCCGCGAAATCACGACGCGAACCAGCCGTATGGAGCCGGGGCTCTGGGTGTCCTGCCAGATGTTGACGATGAGTGTTCCGAGGGAGGTTGGCCTCGTCCCAGCGAGGGCGGATTGCTGTTGCGGTGTGTAGTCGTGCTCGTTGCGGGTGCTTGGGTAGCATGGCGAAGGTCGGTGATTGTTTATGGATAGCAACCCAGCCTCGCTGCCCTCATGCGTACAAGTGTTTGGATGTTCCTGAAAACCAGGGGCATGAACACCATCCGAACTACCTGAACAGAAGTTGGCTTCAGGGAG